TCATAAATTTTACATTCTAAAAACCAGTATTTTCAAAAAAATTTTATCTTGTGATTGTGTGTGTGTGTGTATGTTTGATTCTCAAACATTCTTTAAAATGTATAATGCAAACCAAACTTCTAGAAACTAGAAAAACACATATGATATTTGAAAGATTTCCTGTGTTCATTTATGTATTTATGTATTTATTTATTTATTATTTTTAACTTTTACTTTTTGGTACCGGGGATTGAACTCAGGTCCTTGCCCTTGTGAGGCCGGCAGCAGAACCACTGAGCTAAACTCCTGGCCCTGATCATTTATTTTTAACTTCATCTAGTTCAGAGTCAACAGCATATGTTAGCTCTATTGTTAGGGAATATGTATATGTACCCCTGAAATGTTTAATAATTTACATTTTATTTATTCATTTCTTAACAGATCACACTTTCATAGAGTTGTACAGTATTTCTGAAGAAGAGAAGAAAGTGGGGACTTGCCTTCCTGCAAGACTTGTAATGTTATAATAATTAAGATACTTTGGTAGTAACACAAATATAGACAGATAAAGCCACAAATGGCTCAGCAGCAGACCCATGCATATATGGACAAAAATAAAATAAGAAAGATATCACTGCAAATCACTGTACAAAAAAGTAAGCCATGCTTACTCAAATATAGAAAGAGTAAAGGCTTACATGTGAATGGTAAAACCGAAAGACTTTCAGCACATAGGAAAATATCTGGAAAATAACTTTATGATCCTTGGGAAAGGAATGATTTCACAAACAAGACCAAAATAACAACTAACCAAAATGTGGCTGCATTAGTGTAAAAGTTCTCTTTATCAAATATACTGTAAAGGTGAAAAAGTCAGTCAAAAACTGGTAGGATATGTTGGTAACATGTAATTGACAAAAGATTAGTATCTTTAATATTAAACTAACTGAAAAAAATGAACACAAGAAATAAAGAGGCTTCTAAATGAAAAGATACATAACCTCATTAGTAACTAGGAAAATATAAATTTAAAACAAATATCTTACATCAGTGCAACTTAAATGATGATCAGTAGGTCTGTTACAGTCTGCAACCAAATTAAGAATACACCATAGTGCAAAACTAACATGCTAAGTGAGGGCAATTATCTACACGGATAAGAGTATGAACTGGAAATCACTTTGGAAAACGCTACCCAGTGAAGCTGAGCATGTACATCCCAATGATACAGCAATCCTATTTCTAGCCACGTACACCCTTTACACCCATGCAATAAGAGACTTACGCAAGAATGATTATAACACTGTCATAGCAAAGCTACAGAGAACTCAAACATTCATCTACAATAGAGTAGATAAATGCTTTGTAGTGTACTTCCGTAAAAGAAAGCTATAGAACTGTAAAAATAAATGCTGCAATATAAGTGAGTTTCACAAACATAATGTTGAGCAAAAAAAAAAAAAAAAAAAGCAAGCAGCAGAACCACCATTTAGAATCCCCAGTCATGACAAACAGAAATTATAATTTCAACAAAAATATACCAAACTGCCACAGACCAAGAGAAACCAAATTACAAAAATACCACCATTTAAGGAGTGCTATCAGACCATGATACCTGTATTTTCAATCCCTCTGTAGTCAATGTGTCTACCTCATTCTCTCCTGGCAAATAACTTTAGTTGCTACTTCAAAGAAAATGTCCTCAAAACTTCCTCAACTACTTATGAACCTACCTGAATCTGTATTCATTCTCTAAAGTCTCTCCCATCTCCACCCTGGGGTAAGGAGATAGAAAATCCTCCAGATCTTTTGTTAGAATATTCTTTTTTTAGTTTTGTTTTGGTTTTTTTGTTTGTTTGGGGGTTTTTTTTGTTTTGGTTTGTTTTGTTTTGGGGGGGTTGAGACAGGGTCTCACTGCATAGTTGAGACTGACTTGGAATTCACTATGTAGCTCAGGCTGGTCTCGAACTCATGGAGATCCTCCTGCCTCAGCCTCCGGAGTGCTGAGATTACAGGCATGCACCACCACACCAGGCTGTTAGTTTATTCTTTTAGTTGATACAGAGTTTAGCATTCCTTGGGCATCAGTCCTAAACTGCCTTCTCAACTGACTATAATCTTCACCCTCTAGATCTTATCCATTTGGTCTTTGCCTCTACAACCACCAGACTAGACCTCCATTACCTACCACCTGGATTACTGCAACAACTTCCAACTGTTCTGTCTTCTGCTTTTGGTCCTCTCCATTTCTTAACTGCCTCAGATTAGTAAGAAGGATCACTTTCAACACATTCACAAAGGGGCTGTAATTCATATGTCTCACTGCCAGGCGTCTAAACCACTGCTGCTACATGCATGACCATCAACATGATACAGTCATGCATGAACACAGTAGTACAAGCAGTACAAACCATCCAATGGACAGTTATGCACGCAGCATCAGTAGTTCAAGCTGGCAGGAATGTGTTTAAATGAACATTTCCTCGTGTCCTTCTATCACTTGGATGGCTTAACCAAGTTCTTTGAAAAAAGCAAGTTCTTACTAAAGTATTCCTTGAGCTACTTCTAACCTATCTAGTGAGTTCCATCTAACTCCATTCTCCCTCATACTCACCATGCTTCAAATGCACTTACTTCCTTTTAGTTACCTGAACACACCCTACTCTTTCACCATCTCACAATTTTCATATGCAATCTTCCTCCCACCTGTGACATTCTCCCTTCACATGGCTAATTCCCAGTAATCCAGCCATCTTTCAGGGACTCTACTTAAAACATTAAATCTTCAGAACAATCTTCCCTGAAGATCCACCGTAGATTTGGTCTCTCATTCACTCTTATAGGACTTTCTACTTTTCTTTCTCAGCGCTTAGAGAGGGCATTCATTTATAATAAAAGAACTATCCATTCAACGTTTATTCCTCAATAGATGCTAAACGCCACAGGCAGGAAATGAGGACAACTTGTTAACCACTGTATCCCTAACAGTTAGCCCAGTGTTTGGCAAAAGGACACCCAATAAATACCTGTTGAATGATGAACAAATCAGAGCAAAAACTGGATTCAAACTGCTTGAAATATTATCCATTATAATACATAGAAGGGGGCAGTGTGTGTCTGTGTGTGTGCATGCGCATGTGTTTGTAATAAAGTTTTATTGGACATGGCTCGCTCTTGCTTTCCATTTTTATCCATAGCTCCTTCTGTGCTACAATGGTAGAGATCAGTAGCTACAATATATGTCCACTAACAGATGAATAAAAAAAGTGTGGTACAGTATTTATACACAAGGGAGTATTCCTCTACCATAAAGAATAAACTTGATTCATTCGTAGGAAAATGGATATACCTTGAGACTATAATGTTAAATACAGAGCAAAATAAAAGAGAGATAATGGGGAGATGGAGATCTTTTGCAAAGGGGAAAGGGACCAAGAGATAGAGCAAAGGGGAAGAGAGTGAGAAGGGAGGGGATGAAAAGAGAATTAAGATATGTTATTCACATGTACCAAATCTCATAAGGAATGTCATCATTATGTACTGCAAACATACTAATACATTTTTTTAAAAAAATAGAGATCTATGGCTTATAAAGCTAAGGCATTTACAGGATCAGGCATGTTGCTCAGTGATGCTGCATCTGCCTAGTCCTGAGTTTGATTCCCAGTACCAAAAAAAAGCTAAGGTATTTACTACTCAGCTCTTGACAGACAGTACTTTCTGGTCCCTGCTATAAGCATTTTTTTTTTAACCAGGATTAGGAAAAGGTAGAGCTAATACTGAACAGACCACTAAGAAAGGCACCTACAAAAATGTATACGAATGCCACTGCAGAAATCCAGTCAAATACACTGTGCTTTGGACACTATCCAGAGAACAAAACAGCAAACAGCAATAAGAGTCCACCTGAACTCCCACATAATCATGCTTATCAAAATATTTGACTGGCTGGTTATGGTGTTATGTGCCTGGAGTCCCAGTACTCAGGAGGCTTAGGCAAGAGGATCCAGAGTTTAAGGCAAGCCTGGGCTACACAGCAAGGTCAAGATCAACCTAAACTACACAGCAAGACTATAACTCAAAAAAACAAAACTGAAAAAATAATTTTTGATTCTTCAAGATGGGTGTTTGTATAATCACACGATTTTTTGGTCATGTCTTTGTGTAATTATCCCACTCACTTATATTTCTATGTATTTATTTCATGCAGTTTGACTGAAGGTGTCCTAAAATAGAACTGCTTGAAGGTTAACCACTGAAAGATATTTTAGGAGTGACACTAGATTTTTAGAAGAAAACACAAGTCTTGCTACATAAACTATAAAGGGGTGTTATGTGTCTAGATGTCCCCCCCAAAGCATCATGTGGTCACAGGTGGGGATTTTCAGAGGTGGCTGGATCTCGAGTGTATGAAGCTGGGATCAAGGATGTGTGCTTACTAAATTAGTCCACTGTTTAGTTTGCCATAGTTCTGGATGTGGATAATGGGAAGACCCACTGGGTGTAAGAGCTACCCAGTGGGCTTCATTCATTCCTAAAAAGCTGCTACCAAGAACTACAGAATTTGCCTCTGACTGATAAACGTTTACTAAATTGAGAAACTGGAATCCCCTGCAGAAAGCACCAATAAGCACCTTTAAAACTGACAAAGTTTACAGACATAACCCATTTAAATACACAACCTTTCTCTTACTTGAATTCTATGCACGTATAAAACTCTGCCGCTCCCACGCCCACACACCCAGGTCTATCTTGTTCTTGCTTTCCCCACGGGTGGCGGGAAAAGTCAAGGCAACCCATTTCCCACTATATCCTCGAAAGATCGGCTATGAAGAAAGGAGTCAAACCTCCAAAAGGTCGCTCTTAAAAAATGATGACCTTCCAGAGAGCCTGTAACCACAAAGCAGGACGCATTTCGAGCACCTAAAGATGACCTGTGCCTAGCCGACTCTGGCTGGCACTCTGCTGCACCAGAACTCAGAGCCAGAACAATTTACACTCAAGACAAGCCTCTGCCTTACCTCTGCCGAGGTATCTGACGGCCGCCGCCATGTTGGCCATTCCGGATTGTGTTGACGAAATTTGTCCCGTGTTTCAACTGGGAAGAATTTAAAAAAGGTTCCGCTCCGGGATTGGTAAAAGGGGAAGGGTTTAGAAGGTGCAAGAGGAACCGGGCAGGGTCCAAGATTGGCTTCACGAAAATAGGCGTGGCGGCGTCACTGTGAGCTCTCCGTGCTGCCAGCGACCCATAGAGCCTTGGTTCCGGCAAGGCGACCTTGTTGAAGACACTGTAATTTGTTTTATTCCTTTCCTCTTTTTTTTTAATCATGCAGAAGTATTCAGAAGGCTTCCAAACGAGCAGAGGGGAGGGTGTCCTGCTCCCTATCTTTTTCTTGCCTCAGTGTAAAAATCAACAGTAGTTTTATAAAACTTTAATCTTACGTTATTCTTTACATCCTCATCCCAACACTGCCATGAGGGTCAGCTGAATAAAAATAAAATACTAGATATTTATGTCACACATCTAGTTTTAGAATGGCAGCTTTGAGTCCCATGCTTAGGTTATTCTGGGGGGAAAAATCCTGAATGTCCTTTCTATCACGTCACAACTGTCGGTGTGGTTTATCGAAGACAAATCTGATCACGGATTATATCTCTTCCCAGTTTAAGTAAACCTCCCCAATGACTGGTCATCTCTAAAGGCTCCCTCTGGGCTCCCCCTACCTAACACACACACACACACACACACACACACGGTTTCTCACCCCTGTGGCTTGGTTCAGTCTGTCCCCTCTGCTTGAAGTATCATGCACCAAGTTACCAGGTAACTTTTTTTGTGAATTTCAGCTCAGTCTTTATTCGTGGTTGAACCTTCCCTCAAATTTGCTGAATTATACCCACCTTACCCTCGTGTTGGGTAGTACCAAGGAATTGCATCTGGTTTTATTTGAAGCAATTTAAAAATATAATTTATATGCCCATACAATTCAAAGTTTTTAAATAAATTGTACCATTCACTATATTTTAGTAACTTTGAAGAGTTGTGAAGCCATCGCAATGCTTTTCCACACCAGTCTGAGTTCTTTCTGGGTAGAACTGATGTTATTCATTTTTGTAACTTCAGCACCGATTACAGTACTGGGCACATAAGAGGCTCTCAATAAATGTTTGTTTAATAAATGAATATAAACATGCATGAATTAGTAACTCTTAGAATGGCAAGCATACAAAGTTTACCTAATTCTATGAAGCTTCCCATAGAAGATGGACTGGATTTAAATAAAAACCCCCACACACTTTAGTCCATGTTTAGTTGTAGTACTCATCTACATAAAATCAAAAAATATTGCTTTCTCTTAACACCCAAGAAAAGGTTCCTCCACCATTTGTGACTGTTATGCAAAAAACATTGAAATGTGAATTTACCTTCATAAATTTATTCCCTCCTTCCCTTCTTTCCTTCTATCTTCCCTTTTTATCCCACAAATATATGAGCATTTGTCATGTGTTGAGCAGTGTACCTGGCTACACACAGATGTAACGAGAAAAACCGTCATCACTCCCAGGATAATTAAAAAGTAATTGACTTTATACAAGTTCACCTAGTCCATTTCAGGCAAAGCAAACACCCAGATAAGGGATTTGGTTCTTAGTCTACATTTCTTCACCTATCTGCAAATGTCTTTGTATTTCCTGTTCTAACTGGGGAATTTAAGCTTTCAGCAGTGAGACTCAGTAGTGGGTAGTGTGGTTACCACCATTACACCAATGTCCTGTGTAGGTACAGCTTGTCTCATTGCCTTCTTTGGACCCCGGGACTTAATGGCGTAGTCAGGTGGGTCCCAGTGTCCAGTTATGTCACAATACATAAAGAGATCTTTTAGCTTGAAACTTCATGAACACTATAAAAAAAAAAAAACATGTGCCTCAGTAGGAACTCCAAACCTTTAAATGTTCTTCTCTCTGAAGAGAAGCAGTGGAAACTTTTGGTTAGTTGGTGGTGCTCAAGAGTCAAACTGAGTTTGAATCAGTATCACAACTTACTAGTTGTGTGACATAGGACAAATTACTCTACTTCTCTAGGCCTGTTTCCTCATTGTTGATACAGGTTAACTATGAGACAATTTACAGAGGTACTTACTACAATATCAGGCCCAGTGTAAGTGCTCAGAAATGGACATTATAATTAAGTATACAAGAGGTAGAATGAAATATTTGCTTGCATAGAAATATAATTGACACGATACTTGTCCCCATATTATGAATTCTGAGATTCTGGCATCTTCTTCTAGAGATTCTAAGTTCTTGTTGTCCTGAATAAAGAATTGGACAAAACAAGTGCAGAAGGTAATAAGGTTTTACAGTTATTAAAGACAAGAAAAGATACACTCTCTGCAGAGCAAGTATGGACCAATTAATAGTAGGAAAAGTACAGCCTGAAAGATGAGAGTAGACCATTGTGAAAGAGAGCTTAATGGCGACTGCCTTTTGTCACACCTCAAGTTGACATAGGATCAAGCCACCCTGTCAAAAACCTGCTTGAGTTCTCTCAAGAATTGAAGATACCATTCTCTGATTGGTTCCAGGTGCTCTACGGTTAACAAGACACACCTGCATGCCCAGCCAGTTTTATGGCACTGTAATCTGCCTCACCCATATATGCCAGAATAACATTTTGTTCATATTGGCATTTACAGAGATGCTTTAGGCTGTATTCATACCCCTCCTCAGAGTCCACTTTAAATGAAGCTTTTATGGCCGGTTGTGGTGGTACATGCCTGAAATCCCAGCACTCAAGAGGGTGAGGCAGGAGGAGTACCATAAGTTCAAGGCCAGCCTGGACTACATGATGTGACCCTAGGTCAAATAAATAAATAAATTGAATTGAGTTAAAATGAGACGAAATGAAATGAAACTTCCCTGTTGATTTTTAAGAAGATTTAGACACTCCAGGAGCCTTGGCAAAATTCTAGCTTGGCTAACATTCTTGGGAGAAACCTATATATGTGCCTAACCCTGTTGTTGTCTTGATTGGTGTCTCTACCTTCTTCAAGTATCTTCCCATTGATTTGGAAACCCTTCTACAAGCAGAGTCACTTCCTGTTTGGGGTTAGAATTAAAAGTAGATTCTCTTATTGGACAGAAGTAACGAACTTGAAGACATTTCTATTTCAGTAGTATGCACAGGAATCAGTCAAGACCTTATTAAACTCAAATTGGTGACTTCCACACTATGAGTTTCCAGTATAGTAGGCATGGAGGGAGACTGTAAATGTGGCTAGCTTTCCTCCTCCTTTTTCTTCCTTTATTTTTTTGCGGGGGGACCAGGGATTGAACTCAGGATTTGTGCTTGTAAGGCAGGCATTGGAACCACTGAGCTAAATCCCTCTTTGTTTTTTCTGTTTTGTTTTGTACTGGGAATTGAGGCCAGGGCCTTTACACTGAGCTACAGCCCCAGGCATTTTCATTTTTATTTTGAGACAGGGTCTTGCTAAGTCACTAAATTGCCCAGGATGATCTCAAACTTCTGAATCTCCTGCCTCAGCCTCCCAGAGTACTGGGATGACAGATGTGCACTGCTAACACCCAGCCAGAACTTGCATTTATAATAGGTTCTCAGATGATGCTGATGTACTGGCCTATCACCATACTTTGATAACCACTCCCTATATAATACCATGGAACATTTGCATCCATACCTAGCATTATCTTGGGGAAGAATTGTTATTTTTTATAATAATTTTATACTTAATATAATATAGACTATAAACCTTCTTTATGCAGCATGCCTCTAGGGCCAGAATCTACCCTCTTTTATTTTCTCCAACTCCACACAGAAACTGCTGTTCACTTCAGAAATGTTCACTATTACCAGGAGTGGTGGCACACACCTGTAATTCCAGTACTGAGGGAAGCTGACGCAGGAGGACCACAAGTTTGAGTCCCTCCAGGGCATCTTAACCAGGCCCTGTCTCAAAAAATAAAAAGTGTTGAGGATATAGCTCAGTGTTGGTGTGTCCTTGGGTTCAATCCCCAGTACAACCAAAGGAAAAAATAATACACATTAGTACAAAGAATTTCCAATGCCTATCTTTCTGGATTTCAAGTATTACTGGGCTGGGGATTTAGCTCAGTAGATCTGCTGCCTGCCTCACAAGCACAAGGTCCTGAGATCAATCCTGGGTACCTAAATAAATAAGCAAAGTATTACCAATTCCTAGATTTGCTATCCTATCCCCAAATCTTCTCATTCAAAATCAGATTGTTTTTTAATAAAATTATCTAAAATAGTAGGACTTTTTTGTTTGGTTGGTTTTTGGTTTTTAGAGACAAGATCTCATTATGCAGTCCAAGCCAAACTTGAATTCACTATGAAGCCCACGCTGGGCTCAAATGTGCAATCCTGCCTCAATGTCCTCAGTGTTGGGATTATAGGTGAGGCACTGTGCCTGACTAGTTTTCTAGTTAAAGTTGAACGTTCTGTTAGACACCAACTGCAATTCATTTCACCTTGTCCAACATATGTAGGAGCTTCTCTATCTCCCCAGGAGACTAGTTAAATTCCAGACTGAATGAGGAGATCAGAACCATCCAGTGGTATGCTGATAAAAGGTTAACAACTCGTTTTCTAGTACAAAAGAATTCAATTAGGGGTATTTGCCTATTTCCATGCTGTAAGTACTCTCAGAATAATTGATTTCAAACATCCAAATACAAAATCAATCAGCTCAAAAAAAATTCTGGCAATTTATCACTTGGCTCTCACATGGCCATAACACATTACTGGAAGTTTCCTAGTAAAAGCACTCTGTAACTTTTAAGAGACCTAAACCAGTAGTCCATGGAGGTACACACCTATAAACCCAGCACTGTGGGAGCCTAAGGCAGAAGGATCACAATTTTGACTTCAGTCTGGGCAATTTATCAAGAGCCTGTCTCAAATTTTAAAAATGGCTGGGGATGTAGCTCAGTGAAAAAGCCTTGAGTTCAACCTTTAGTAGCAGGACAAACCCAATTCTTCCTAGATCTACATTTCTCAATTTTTTTTCAATACTAGACCCTAGCATTTGCTAGGTAAACTACTCTGAGATGGAGTCTCACCAAATTGCCCATGCTGGGCTTCACCTTTTGATCCTGTCTCCACCCCTCAAGTAGCTGTGATTAAAGATGTGCACCCTATGCAGGACACCATAATTCTTAAACTTTATTGTGCATACAAATCATCTGGAAATCTTATTAAATGTACAGTTTCATTTGCTAGGTTTTAGATGAGGCTCAGAATTTTGGGTTTCTAACAGGCTTCTTGATTATGTGAATGCTGCTGGTCCTGGAATAACTTGAAGA